ATCATCGTTTTTGGCTGTGGTATACGTCAGGCCACGGTGAACTAAAGCCACATCCCAGTACTAGGGGTGGGAGAGAAAGCGCCAAACGTTTGAAAAGAACAGTTCTTGATCTCAAACTAATGAACTGTTCTTCCAAACTGATAACAACAGTTGTTTTTCTTTAGTTCACCCGTTTGCCACTATTCGGGTTGCTGTTTGATCTGTTTTTTTCCAAACGAAATAAAAGCTCTTTCTGCTTTACAACGAACCTATCAGTTTATCATGAAAATAACCCAACAGTTTTTTTTATAAGACATGTTTCAACTGTCAAGTTTAGGGATGTAATTTTTAGCTCTCATTATTAATGAAGCCTAGAAATAAATAAAAACTTTCATTATAGTTACTACATTACAAACTTAACTAGAGCATATTTGTAGGCAAAATTAGTTTATGTTTTTAGATGTATCGGTCTATATTAGTGTCTTGCTGACCGAAAATAATTTTTACGATTGACCATATTCACATAAATCAATTTAATTGCATAAATAAAATTAAATACAATTATATTCTATGAAAATTGTTTAAACTACAGTTAAGAGACTCATGATGACCAAGCAGCATAATTTCAAACTTCGAACATACATGAAAGTCCAAATGTTATTAAAATAAAAAATGTTCTATGTGTAAAAAATAATTTTTAGTTTTAATTTCATAAATGTAAATATTTAAGATGAAACATTCATGTTATTCATATTACAAATAAATTCAAAAGTTAGCAATTTCAAGCTCGAACATTGCCAAACTTCATACATAAAACGATTCATTCATTTCCAGACTTGTTATTAAACGAATAGGTATTCGTCCATGAATCGTTGCTTTATTCTATGAACTTTTTTTTTTCAACAGTTCTTAAGAAATGTTGTTTTTTGTCAACGAACAGCTCATTTACGTTTTTCAAAATTAGCAAAAAGGCCCACGTCTGCTATCAGTACCCTGTTATACCTCCAAGAGGCAATTTTATTTCATGTATTTTTTTAAATATGATTTTTTTTTTATCACTTGAATTCTATTGCAGCTCAAATGTATTTGTTTTGTTTTTTCATGAAAGTATCCAATTCTTAAAACTCTACCCAGTTAAAAAAAAACTCTTTTCAATAAAATATGAATTCATTATATCGTACCCTGTTATTTCGGTATATGAATCGTTATGTGAATTTAACTTATCATATTTCTGATTCCCAATCGAAAAAAATATATGGATCGATTTTAAGCTTTATGTTTGATCATACAAGCAATTAGTAGTGCTACCAAAATAAGTATAGAACTAGCATTGAACGCAGTGCTCTAACAGTGTCCTCGAAAATTTTGCACTGTAGATCTGAACAAATGATTGCGCAATCTTTTGTTGAGATTAGATAACGATCTGTTATGGCAAGGCCGTGGTCTTTAAATTGGACTGGGAAATATTTCTTTGACAAACAACATTAAATTTGTCTTCATAAGTACTCAATAGCGCGTTTGTTATTTTTATTGTTTTTTTGGTTAGTTGGTTGTTATGAAGTTTAGGCGTAAAACCTGTATGTTATCAACAGAGTTAATTAAGTTTGTACACAATTATATCTACTGTTTGTAAATAATGTAATTAAAATATATACTACATATATACATAAATAAAATATATATATATAAAATCTGGTGCGTCCACTCACACGACTATTCTACTTATTTCAGGAAAGTATTTTTATCTATACATATATCCATCAAGAAAAAAAAATCGAATTATATTTATTTGCCTGAAAATTTATCAAAGAAAAGATTTGAGTACGATTTATTTGATAAAGTAAAGCAATGTAAACCGGCTTAAGGTAGATCAGTGTAAAAATTTCAATACCCTCTAATATTGCTGATAAAAAACTTTTTGCCATAGCCTAATTTTGTAAAACAATTCTGTTAAAAGTAGCAGAAATAGTGAAGCTTGTGTGGTGCGGGCAACATATTTTCTTACTTTCACTTAGTTATCTTTTTTCTTTCATTCAACCCTCTCTGACACCAGGATATAAACCCGTAATCTTACATTGGAAATTGAATTGCTATATCTGCTATAGTTGTCCGAAATTAACGATTTTTATATAGTTTTGTAGGGTATTTCATCGCCTTTCAAAAAAACAGGCAGCTGCTATTGCGTAGTCAAAACCCTACAAAATAAAAGAAGAAGCAACAAAATCTGTTCACTAGTTCCCGAGAATATCTTGGTACAGACAGACCAATGGCTAAAAATGTGTTTTTCGAACTCAGGGGGCTCCGAAACAAATAGATCCTTGAAAACGGCATATCGGAAATTTGACCCAATACTTTCCTTACCTAGTATAGGTAGAAAAGTAATAACAGCGTGAGAGATAAGCTTCCGATATTTTTAAACATTCCTTTTTCATAGAGAAAATATATGACACTACCCAAGATGTTTTTCATCATTTCTCAAAGCAATTGATATATTTGCTGGCATTTCCTTTTCGTATAACTTTCTGATGTAAAAGGCTCAACTCTCAAAGATATCGGCCACTGTTTTCCGATTCTCTGATTCTCTCTCCACACTTCCGAAAAATTTGTAGGTTTTCAATAATAATTAAGCTTGGCATGTCCTATTCTGAGTCGTATAAGGACAACTTCCTATATATATATATATATATATATATATATATATATATATATATATAGGAATATATATATATATATATATATATATATATATTTATCATAAAGAAAATTATTCGTAATTTATAAATTTCTACTGTTAAAAGATTAGAATACTAACATTTAAAAAGTATATATATTTAACTTGATATATTATAAAAAAAAAAAAAAATTAAAATAATGCAACAGATCCATTACAGATGGATAATATACTCATTAATAGTGTTGGCCGAAATCGGTATTGGTCCTGCACTTTGCAATATCAAGAATGATATAAAAATTTCGTTTTGTGAATAAAAATTAAGGCAAAATAGTTACTAAAACCTTACAATTTTATTTATTATATGTAAAAAATTGGTATAAAAAAAAACATTTGCATTTCTCTTCCAATTTTTCATTTGGCTTAGTTAGGTTTCCCCTATTTAAAAGATAACAGTAATATCTCTTTAGTAATAAGGTAATATGTAACTGCGAGACTCTTGCGCAAGATCAAAGATTCAGTGCGCAAGAACAAGACTCGCATTTCGGCAACACTACTCATTAACTCATCAGAAGAACCAGATTTTAGTTTCTTTAAACGACTCACGAAAATAAATAGCAGTTCTTTTTAGTGAATCATCAAAGATTACAGTGAGTAATTTAGGTTTTTGTTTCAATTAATCGCAATATTTTGTATTGCGTTATCTAGACTGCTTCGCGCCGTGTTCTTTGTACAGAGACATAAATTAAATGTTATGATATATTTGGAAAATTCTATACATAACTCCTTGAGTCACTAGAGAAGAATAATAAAAAGTCTTTTTATGAATTAATATTAGATAATATAAATTACAAGGCAATGCTAAATAATATTTTGTGATTTAAAACTGAAAATCAGAAGTGGTACATGGTCTGTTGACCGTCAGAAGAGCCTTTGTTTTATAAAAAAAAATATATATTTAAATCTATTTATATACAACTAAATAAGAATTGACTAACGTCGTAATTAATAAGAAAATAAGAACAATTATATTTGCAATGTAAAAGTTATATAAATATTTTAATTACAAAAAGATTGGTACCAAAATTCTCCAATTTATTAATTGTTTAATTCTTTGGTGAGCATTATTCTACAGGAGAAAGCAGACTTGCAGTAATTTACTAATGCTATCCAAGTGTTTCCATTTATTAAATCTATTACTTGATATCGAGATAAATTTGAGTATCGGACAAGCAGCCAGGAAGTGATAGAGATCTTCTGTTTCGTTCCTATTACACATGCTACAATTATTATTTTATTGCTGGAAGTGTTTATGATTTAAGTTCAAAACATCAGCTCTGATTTTAATTACCCATCTGATCACCTTCAATGAGCTTTTGTCCTCAATATAATTTACTGAAGTTAAATGAGGATAAAAAGTAAAAGTTTTCGAATTCTTAACTTTAATTACATATTGATTATGTATGTATTTCTCAATTTGAGTTCTTAATAAACATAAATTAGCTCTCCATAGTTTAACATCATCACAGTCAGATCGATTTAAGTTGAAATTTAATCAATGCAGTTCTATCAGATTAAGTAAGTCCCTAAACAATGCGATTTCTTTCCTTGTGTCGCTACAATCCGGGTAAACTAACTTACCCATCAAGGTTTCGGTAATTCAGGCATCATCGGACGGAAATAGCCAAGGTTACATACATGCTGACCAAATACTACACATCTCCTACAGTTCGCGGACACTTTTTTTTTTAAATTATTAAAATTCGTCATGAACTTCATAAATGACTTCGTCTTGTCGTAACCTCTTTTATTTACGAAAATTCTCTGAAATCGTAAACTTTCCAATTGAATCGTAAGATGAGAAGGAAAAAGAAATATATCCAACAAAAATATTGGGCCTATTTAACCACGTTATTTTGAAATGTTGGGATGGATTTCACTCCAAACAGCTCAATATTTTTTTTTATCAGTTTTCTGTTAAATTTGTCAAATTATCAAAAGAAAATGGGTATTCATGAGTTTTTAGTAGCTCATAAAATAGAAAAAGTTTCCGAACTTCAAATTGGAAAGCACCCCATTTCTGAAAATTTTCGTAAATAAAAAAATTGTGGGTTATGATTACATGAAACCATTAACAAATTTTTTGACAGATATTATTAATTTGATAAAAAAGAGTCTGTACCACGGACAATACTTTTTCCTTCTCAGAATAGGTAGCCATTAAAATTATTTTTATTAATTTTATTTATTCTCAATCGGAATTTTTCAAGTATAACTTCTTATCAGAGTTATATTAGATAAGCTTAATTGAGTTGAGGTCGCCATTATCTTTACGAGGCATTTTCCTGCCTGACATCTTATATGCAGTAGATTTTTAGTAACCAACATCTGGTTTATGAAAAATGTGTTTACTCAAAATGGAACCGTTCCCAAAAACACCTTTTCAGTTTCCATTGGCTGTTGTGGGGGTGAGTACTTTATATATATATATAGCTTTATGTTTGATTTTTTTTTTTTTATTCTGATTTAAATTTAATATAAAGATAAAGTTCAATTCGTTGAAAAGAGTATACTTTTCTTCATTCATTGCTATTTTATTTTAGTTAGAATAGTAGTATAACGATAGTAATAGAACTATTTTTAAAAGCCGACGTTTCGGGCAATTCGTTTTCCCTCCTTCAAAGCCTGATCGAGAATTGATGCGACGACGACATAAAAATTATTAATAGGTACTATGAAAATCTTTATGTATAAATAAAATTAAATATTGAAATAAAAAAACAACGCAGATAAAAAAAAAATATAGTTGAAACTTAAATTTCGGTTTTTTTAATTTTTATTCCGATATATTCACACCTATCATAAAACTTGAGACTTGTTATTGGTCATATTGTGCATGTTAGGCGGAAGAAAAACCTGTGCACATCCAGGAAAGTAGTCGTATGCTATTAGCGGAATTAATAGTGTTATTAAAAATCAATTGAAATAATTTTATAAATATTAATTAAAATAATTTTATAAAATTTTGAAATAATTCAACTCTGTACGGACTTTGTACATATTTCAAGAGTGGTCGTTGGTGGAATTTGATATTGATGTAATCATCATGGCTATAATAATGTTTATATTGAATTATCACTACCGTTAGTGCAAAAGGTGTTATGTAAAAATTAAGTGTTAAAAGATAGCATAAAAATTGATTATTTCGTTATGATTTATTAGTATAATGTCGTATTTTATTTATTTATTTATTTCCCTCTGGCGTTTCCATAAAACGCAGACTACTTATAACAGTTGTATATTGAAGAATCAATTTTTATGTTTTCTTATAAAAATCTCAATTTTTACATACAAAGTTTTGCACTAACAGTAGTGGTATATTATGATACATAATTTTTATATTGTTTAATATACGTAATATATTAAATTTCAAGATCGTTCATTTAAATTATACATATTTCGTTTTCAAAATACAATATTCATTGCTATGATGATTTACATTTTTCAACTTTAGATTTCATTCTAATAGAAATAGGTTCTGTTAAAATATTTTTATTTATGGATAGAAATATTCGACGGTCAATTTTCTGGAATGAATATTGAATATAACTTTTCATGAGGGAGATTAGAATTTAATAATAGTCCGAGAGCCCGTACAAAATATTTGATAATTATCTATTTAAAATTTTAAAAGCAATGTTTTTTTAATATTTATAACATTTACATATATATATATATATATATATATATATATATATATATATATATAAGATAAAGACCGGAGACTGGCGATATCAGCCTTAATACCATCTTGTAATGTAAATAAACATAGCAATTGTATATAAGGCAGATTATTGGACGAATAAAGCAGTGTTTATTCAGAAGCCGTGAGTATTGTTTCTCGTTCCTCTTTCCTTCTTTTTTTTTATTTTTAAAGCCCGGAGACGCTTAACTGGTGCCGAAACCCGGGAGAACGTCAGGAGAACACGGAAGTAAAATTTTTTTTTCTGTCTTTATTTTAATTTTTTTTTCTCTTCTCCTAGTCATAAGGAAAAGACGAGATGCCGACAGAGGGCATAATTCGACCAGGAGTGTTGAACGCACCTGAAATGCCGCAACCTCAGGAAATGCCGATAGCGCAGATTCCTCAGATCGCCCCTCAGGTTCCGCAGATTCCGCAGATACCTCAGATACCTCAAGTACCGCAGATACAAGAGATCCCTCCCTTACCTAGGGACACATTGGCAGAGGCGCATGCCAATGCATTGGAGTGGATGAAGATAAGGGCAGCAACCACGCAGGATCTACGGAGAGCAATCGCAGACCTGGAGCGATTCGGGGGCGAGATAGGTGAACTTAATCACTTCCTGAAAGGCGGAGACCGCCTCATATCAAGAATCGAAGCAAAGGTGGCGGAGGACCTCGTGAACCTGGGAGACGCAGAAGCACTGAAGGCAGCTCTCGTGTGCCGAGTGAGGAGGAACATCCTCAACCAAATCCAAGCGGACGAGGAGACACCATGGCCAGTGATTAAGGAGCGTTTGAAGAAGGCTTTCGGAGGGGGCCGATGGACGCCGGAAGAAGATATCTTCCAAATGTTTAGGGAGTGTCGGTCCCAACGCCAAACAAGAGGACAGTATGCGGGGGTACTAGTGGCGAAGTACAACCGCATAACTGAGAAAATGCGTGAAACCATGAGTGTGGGAGAGGTCGAGGCTAGGATGGAATTCCTTTCGACAATACTCAAGGTTCAGTTAGCTAAGGAGACTGGGAGAAGGGACGGACTGCCTAGAGAGCGATCGTTCCTCGAGTGTGCCCAAGAAATGATAGATCTGAGTGCAAGAGAGGAAGAGACGCGGATGGAAGTAGAAGAACCAGGGTGGACCCGAGTGAGTGACAGACGACCCCGGACAGCCCAGATAGGGTGGAGGAAGAGGGAAATGAAACACCCGAACGGAGAAAAAGCCACGACGGGCGAGAGAAGATCCGGACAGTCCAGGCCTAGGAATGGACCCCGGAGGGAAGACCGAAAATGTCACGGGTGCGGGAAACCGGGACATTTGGTAGCACAATGTCCGCGCACTAGATGTTTCGAGTGCGGGACTGAAGGGCATATTGCCAGACAGTGCCCGTACATGTTTCGCAGGAGGGAGAGACCTCTAGACGAGCCAATGGAGGTGAACGCTCAAAAGTTGAAAAAACGAGCTAGGATGCAGCAGAGAGACGGATCTTCGGAAGAGGCAACCGAGGAGTCGGGGACGTCGGGAACGGAGACTGACGAGCCAGCCAGCAGTGGAGGCGAAGGAGGCAGGAGCAGCCAACGGAGCGAGCAACGACGAGCGACGGCGGTAAGGAGGAAGCGAGGTGGCATCTGAGAAGGGTGTCAGCAGAGAGGCGACCGCACAGCAACCTGCAACAATATTAGAGGTAAGCCATGCTGGTTGCCGATTATTGAAGTAGATGGGGGAGTGAAGTGTCTCGTGGACACAGGGAGCTCGAGTACTATCTTGACTCGGGGGGCGTTGGGGAGAGTGTGCGGGAGCGAGAGGGTACTCCGGATACAAAACTGTGGCTGCCAGCTAATCACTCTGGGTGGTCCCTGTAAAGTAGAAGGGGAAGCGTCAATTACGCTTGACCGGTGGGCAGGGAAAAAGGGGGAGCTAAGGGTGCATGTGGTAGAGAGCATGGCGCGGGAGTACCAAGTCATAATAGGGTGTGATCTGTTAGGACAGGTAGGGGTAAGCATTAGAAACCGTAGAGGAGCTTGGAGTATCAGGCTGGGAAAGAGGAAATTTGGATGTATAGGGGTCGCGAGAGAAAGAAGGGTGCGGATAGGAGCGGTGAACAGGGTGGAGGACTGGAGAAAGGCGTTACAAGCGGAGTTCGTAGATATTTTCTTCAGGGAGGGCGAGGTATTGGGGGTAACAGGGAAGACGGTACACGAAGTTCCACTGAAGCAAGATAGGGTGACCTACGTAAAGGAAAGGAGATACCCGCAGGCGATGAGGCAGCATATTCGGGAGGAATTGGAAAGCCTGAAAGAGCAAGGGATCATAGTCGATAGCACCTCGCCATTTAATAGTCCCCTGTGGGCAGTGAAAAAGAAGGCAGCGCCAGGGGATAATAAGGAAAAATACAGAGTGGTAGTGGACTATCGTAGGTTGAACGACAACACGGTAGACGAAAAGTACCCGATCCCTAGATTCGAAGATATACTTGATAGGTTGAGTGGGGCCGTGGTGTTTAGCACGTTGGACCTCAAGGCGGGATACCACCAAATACGGATGCACCCGAAGGACCAACATAAGACGGCGTTTACATTCGAAAGGGGGCATTACGAATTCACCAGAATGCCGTTTGGTCTGAAGAATGCGCCCATAACGTTTCAACGCCTGATGGACGAATTTCTGAGGGGGATCGACGACTCCGTATGTCAAGTATACATGGACGACCTGCTGATTTTTAGCAGAACGGAAGCCGAACACGTGGGGCATTTGAGGTCGGTATTCGAAAGGCTGCGACAATTCGGGCTGAAACTGTCAAGTGAGAAGTCCCTGTTGGGACAAACGCGAATCAATTTTTTAGGCCACACTATTTCTAGCGAGGGGGTCAGACCGGATGCGGCAAAGGTGGAGGCTATCACACGAATGGCGGTGCCACGGGACGTTAAAGGGATTCGTAGGCTTCTCGGGACGCTGAATTATTATAGAAGATTCGTACCTGAGATGGCAGAATACTTGGTACCTATCAATAACTTGCTGAAGAAAGGCGCGAGGATCGTGGTGACACCGGAAATGGAAAATAATATTCGGAAATGCATGGATAGGTTGCAGGCAGAACCCGTATTGGCGTTCCCGGATTTTGAGAAGCAGTTCAACGTCACCACCGATGCGAGCGAATACGCGTTGGGGGCCGTTTTATCTCAGGGCAGAAGTGAGGGTGAACGTCCGATAGCATACGCGAGCCGACGACTTACGAGCGCGGAATCACGGTACAGCGCGTTAGAGAGGGAGCTACTCGCGATAGTGTGGGCCATCGACCATTTCAGGCCGTATATATTTGGGAGGAAGTTTCGAGTCCACACCGATCACAAACCCCTTCAGTGGGTAGGAAAACTTAAGGAAACCTCTGCGAGGGTCACGAGATGGAAAGAATTCCTTAGTCAGTACAACATGGAGGTGGTGTATAAGCCGGGAAAGGAAAACGTGGTGGCAGACTGGCTCTCTAGGGCCATCATGATCAACGCGGTAGAAGAGGACGGAGGAGGTCCATCGCGGGACGTGCGCCAATTCTTGAGGGAATGGACTCCTGAGGGTGAAGGGGCAGATGATACCGTCAGTATAGAGGACAGGGAGGGGTCCCCGGAAGAAGATAGCTCAGCGGAGGAAAGACCAGAGGCGATGGAGGAAATAGACGAAATCATCAACGACAAGCATAGACAGGTAATCTGGAAAACCAGGACAACAGG